GTGTATAGAAAATCAATTTTATGGATCTTCAAACATATATAATAACCATCATGAATAATAAGGTAAATATTAAAGTGATATTAGCACATTACTTGCTTTAATGGTTTTTCTTTTCTAACTGTAAAGTTACCTATGTTTCTACTATGTACTTTCAAGGGTATTTCTAGTGTAATACAATACAAAGAGAGACTTTGACCCTCTCTATGTACTACTAGGAGAATTCAAAATTGGTTAATAGCACCGATGGGGAGATACAAGGCCTCAAACAACAGAGAAGATCCTCTAAGGCATAGAAATGACAGGACTGGATTTCTGCTAGCTATAGATGACCTTAAGGAAGCATGATATGTCCAAGCTGAGCTCACCAGCCCTAACAAGTATTTGATATGTGTCTTTCCAATCCAGCCTTCTCGGTAACATAGAGTTACATTTCTCAACCAAAAATTAGATGAGAAGATTCTTTTTTTTTTTTTTTAAGATTTTTTTTTAAGATTTTATATATTTATTTGACAGAGAGAGACACAGTGAGAGAGGGAACACAAGCAGGGGGAGTGGGAGAGGGAGAAGCAGGCTCCCCACCGAGCAGGGAGCCCGATGCAGGGCTCGATCCCAGGACTCTGCGATCATGACCCGAGCCGAAGGCAGACGCTTAATGACTGAGCCACCCAGGCGCCCCAGATGAGAAGATTCTTTTTCTCAAAACTGAAAATGCATTTTTGTTGCCTTATTTATACTGTTCCCCGCAACAGTACCATATTCTTTAATACTCTAGGCCTTTGTATGTTATTTCATCTGACCTTAATGCCATTGTTCACCTATCAAAACCCTACTCCTATTGAAGGATATTAAATGATACCACTTCCAAAAAATCTTTTCTGATCAAAATCAACCCTCCCCAGTTAAAATCAACTCCCCTCCGTCCTCATTTGCAACTTATTAGTTATTTCATTTTTTTTATATCATGACTAGTTGCTATATCAACTTGTCCATTTCTACACTCCTAGAATTCAGATTGTCTCATTTATCTATGCATATCCCACAAAGTCCCTATGTACCTCCTCACATAAGTTGTAAAGGAGAAGTTATATAATTGCTATATGAGCACAATAGAGAGAGATGGAATGCACTAGAATATCCCCCTCATTGTCACAGTCCTATCAATGGGAAATTTGGAATCCAAAGAATCTGAGTGAAGCCTGAGCCGCCTTCTTGGACAGCTGGTTTGGTGACTTAAATCTTCAAGTTGGGCCCAGTAAAGAAACAAGTGTTTCTTGCCCTCAAAAACAGTGGGTTCCATTTTTCTGAAAAGAGTAAGAAAAAAGCCATGCTAATAGGAGAAATATCCTTTCTTCGATGTGAGTTTAGATTGTGTTGTCTTGCACAAAAAGTAATGCTTACATTGGTGAGGTGTGATTACTTCCAGGTTACCAGCAAGGGAAACCGATTGCAGTTCTCATGGTGGGGAGATGAAACTGGGATTAGAACATCCAGTTTCACCCTCATTCAGGGGCCTAGAGTCTGTCCCTCCCCTCCAGAGCTGACTGAACCAGCATCAGTGCCCCGAAGAACACCTTGTCAAAGCCTCTTCCTCCTATGGAAGAGATTTCCCAAGAGAGAGGATGAGCCCCTTAATGAGGAGTAGGGGAAGATGGAGGTGGGGAAAGGACAGGAGGATGTATCTACAGAAGACATCTTTCCTTTAAAGCCCAAGTTGGGAAGGGGCTTTCCTAAGATGGGACAAGGAAATACCTTGGATAGAAACACAACCAGGGTTTCTCTCACACTGCCCTGCTATCCTGGGATTTGACACTCCCATGGAGAAAAACAATAACAACAACAAACCATTTCATGGAGGCTCTATTTATTTCATCAAATAGGGAATGGCAAGCCAAGGGATCAGGCAGAGACAGAGCTGGAGGGTACTCTGACCTCAAGCGGATTACTAGAACTGGTCATACCTGGTTAACGGCAGTAATGAGGAGACCTACTGTCTACAGAAACAAAGAACATGATGAGGTGTAGAGATGGTCACACTGGATTCCCAGACTGTATCCATATGTTAGTAGAAAACATCCTAAAAACAGATAGGAGGGAACAGCAACTCTTTCTGCCCATGGGTCCTGTCCCCGTGCTTTAATAAAATCACCTTTTTGCACCAAAGACGTCTCAAAAATTCTTTCTTGGCCATCGGCTTCAAACCCTAACATCTTTTCTACATCATTAAAGGGCTGTTAATAATCCTACATATTTGACCTTTCTTCAAGAGAGCTTTAAACTTCTCTACATTTGTCAGTTCCTTGTCCTTACAGCCCTCACCTGAGAGGTGTATAGAGCTAAATCCACCAGTCAAAATCTCTTTCTTTTCCTTTGGGGAACAAAAAAAGGAATTTCTTTGGGCGCCTGGGTGGCTCAGTTGGTTAAGCGACTGCCTTCGGCTCAGGTCATGATCCTGGAGTCCCAGGATCGAGTCCCGCATCAGGCTCCCTGCTTGGCAGGGAGTCTGCTTCTCCCTCTGACCCTCCTCCCTCTCATGCTCTCTGTCTCTCATTCTCGCTCTCTCAAATAAATAAATAAAATCTTTAAAAAAAAATGATTTAAAAAAAGGAATTTCTTTTATTTATTAAAATTTTTTAAATTTAAATTCAATTAATTAGCATATAATGTATTATCAGGTTCAGAGGTAGAGGTCAGTGATTAATCAGTTGCATGTAATACCCAGTGCTCCTTACATCACGTGCCCTCCTTAGTGTCCTTCATTCAGTTACCCCATCCCCCCACCCTTTTCCCCTCCAGCAGCCTTCAGTTTGTTTCCTATGCTTAAGAGTCTGGTTTGTCTCCCTCTCTGATTTCGTCTTGTTTTATTTTTTTCCTCTCTTCCCCTATGGTCCTCTATTTTGTTTCTTAAATTCCACATATCAGCGAGATCATATGATAATTATCTTCTCTGATTGGCTTATTTTGCTTAGTATAACACCCTCTATTTCCATCCTCATCATTGCAAATGGCAAGATTTCATTTTTTGATGGCTGAGTAGTATTCCACTATGTATATATACCACATCTTCTTTATCCATCCATGTTGATGGACATCTGGGCTTTTTCCATAGTTTGGCTATTGTGGACATTACTGCTATAAACATTGGGGTGCAGGTGCCCCTTCAGATCACTACATTTGTATCTTTGGGGTAAATACCCAGTAGTGCAATTGCTGGGTCGTAGAATGGCTCTATTTTCAACTTTTTGAGGAACCTCCATAATGTTTTCCAGAGTGACTGTACCAGCTTGCATTCCCACCAACAGTGTAAGAGGGTTCCCCTTTCTCTGCATCCTCGCCAACATCTGTCATTTCCTGACTTGTTAATTTTAGCCATTCTGACTGATGCGAGGTGGTATCTCATTGTGATGAGTGATGTTGAGCATTTTTTTCATGTGTCTGTTGGCCATTTGTATGTCTTCTTTGGAGAAATGTCTGTTCATATCTTCTGCCCATTTCTTGATCGGATTATTTGTTCTTTGGGTGTTGAGTTTGATAAGTTCTTTATAGATTTTTGGATACTAGCTCTTTATCTGATATGTCATTTGCAAATATCTGCTCCCATTCTGTCTGTTGTCTTTTGGTTTTGTTGGCTATTTCCTTCTAAAACAGGAATTTCTAAAAAGAGTGACACCCTGGACATTATCTCATGTGAGGGCTGTCCTCCCACCCTTTTCTGATCACTTACACACCTGTCCAAGAACCCAGTGCTGAGCATAAGGAGAGATTGCAGGTGGAGAAGTAGGGCACCTGCTACTCAAATAGGACTTGGGACCAAGTGCTAGATTATGGTGTTCAGATCCAAAGTGTTCTAGGAAAGGTGGCAGGTTTGAGAGAGCTGGGATCTCAGGGAAGGCCTGGCACATAAGTAAATACTTGCTGAATGGATGAGTGAGCAAATAAATAAAGGATCAAGGCTTTAAGAGATTTGGAACAATAATGACTTATGTTCACAGCTGTGTGGGACTTACCAGTTTACTAAGGTCTTACTTATTTTTATCTCATTTGAGTCCTATAACAGCCCTGTAAGAAAAGCAGGGCAGAAATTGTCCTTTCCATTTTCCAGATAATGACATTGAGTCCCAGAGGGATGATGTAACTTTTATTAATCCAGCACACATTTACTGAGTGCTGATTATGTACTAGGACTTGCGCTAGAGGCTAGAGATGCAGAAATGAAGTACATTAGGTCCAAGATGCTTGGTCTGATGGAGGAGCTGGAAGAGTAAACAGTTGTGAAATGAGACCAGCGCTGTTAGTGTGCTCGGGGGGCGTAGAAGCAGGAGGGCATGTGTACCTCTGCCAGGCACGGGGAAGGTGAGACTGCATTTGGGTCTATAAGGATGAAGAGGAGTTTATTAGAAGAGTGTTGTGAACAGAAAGAATACATGTCTAAAGGGACAAAGCAAGAAATAACATGGCATATTTAAAGTGTAATTTGGTATAAAAGTGGCACAGGTTGGTAGGGAGAAGGCTTAGGGGAGGATAAAGTTTAGAGAGTTTATTCTTCGGTTAGTTGGTTCTTTGTCAAGTTAAACAGCTTGGGCTTGATCTTTAGAGCCATGGGGAGCCATGAACATTTTTGAAACAGGAATGATAGCCCTGTGCTGAGCCTTTCCTGGAGTATTCATGTGTTTACTGTTTTGGCTTTTTCCTTTCAAAATTCAGCTCGGGAGCTGCCTCCTATGGTAGACTCTCTTGACCATCATGCCTTCAAATTGGGTTAGATATCAGATGTTTCTTGTGGGCTTCCTGGGCCAAGGCTTCCCTCCGTCTTATGACTTGTCTACTGACTTGTTACCCTGTGTTTACATGCTTTTTCACTCTAATCTGTGGCCACTCAGAGGTCATACACCATTTCTGACTCATATTTGTAGTCCCTATACCCAGCACTGGGCTTGACCCAGAGCAACGTGCTCAGTAAGTATTTGCAGAAGGAATGAATGGGAGGAACTGGGTTCCACCCCAATCCTGAGACAACATTTGGAGCAGATGGCTTCAGTGACTGATAGTAAAGCTGGAGTCAAAGATGCTTCCGACCAGAATTTTGACTGCATGTTCAAACTGCTCATCATCGGCAACAGCAGCATTGGCAAAACTTCCTTCCTCTTCCGCTATGCTGATGACACCTTTACCCCAGCCTTCGTCAGCACTGTGGGCATTGACTTCAAGGTGAATACAGTCTACAGCCATGAAAAACGAGTGGAGCTGCAGATCTGGGACACAGCTGGACAAGAATGGTACCGGACCATCACCACAGCCTATTACCGTGGGGCCATGGACTTCATTCTGATGTATGACATTACCAGTGAGGATTCCTTCAATGCTGTCCAAGATTGGGCTACTCAGATCAAGACCTACTCCTGGGACAATGCACAGGTTATCCTGGTTGGGCACAAGTGTGACATGGAGGAAGAGAGGGTTGTTTCCACCGAGAAGGGCTGGCTCCTTGCAGAGCAGCTTGGGTTTGACTTCTTTAAAGCCAGCGCCAAGGAGAACATCAGTGTGAGGCAGGCCTTCGAGCGGCTGGTAGATGCCATTAGTGACAAGATGTCTGATTCGCTGGACACGGACCCCTCCATGTTGGGCACCTCCAAGAACACCCGTCTCTCGGACACCCCACCACTGCTGCAGCGGAACTGCTCGTGTTAGATTCTGCATCTCTACTAAATTATCCCTGATTACCTGCCACGACTGGAAGATCAGCCTGTGCCTGGGATTGCATGCAATAGACAGGCCCATGAGATACGAATACTGTTAAGTGATGTTTTTGAAGGCCTTCATCCCTTATATGAAGTAGGCAAAACTCAAATTTATTCATTCATATTTACTCATTCAATAAATGTCTAGTATGTGTCAGGAAAAAAAAAGATAGGAGGGGCCTCATCATTCTCTGGTGATGAATAATAGGGATTCTGATATGAAATTTCCCTTTGGACTTTCATAGCTGGAGGCTCAGGGTAGATGAGTAGAGATTTAGGGTACCATAAGTGGAATCTTTGCTGAAATAAATCATTTACATAGGGAAAGAAGGCAAAAAATATACTCATATATCTTCTCAATATATAGGGAAGATAATATAAGCATAACCTAACAAAGATATCACAAATTCAAGCCAATATTCTTTAAATATTGTTCCATATGTGTTTAATAGGGTTGGGGATAAACTGATATTTTATTAACAAAAGCTGTATACTTCCTTATGTTCAAAAGAATTTATTTATTACATAACCTGAATGTAGCACATTTTCACCTTTCAGTTTTTCCATCACTGCTGTCACTAATATCAGTCCAACTTTATTTTGCTGAACCCATTGGAATTTGCTTCATTTGGAAAAGAATACTGTTCCAGTTTCAATTAGCTTTCAGTTATAGAATCTTAAAGTAATTATCTGACCCAGCAGACAGCCAAAACTGTTCTATTTAATTTTTTCAAATCACAATCAGAAAATGAAATGTATTCTGTGCAAAAAACTTAAAAGAAACAAGAGAAAGACACCTTCTTCAGGGATTTAGTCCTATAGCCCAAAGTCAAGACTAAAATAATTTGGCCAAAAGATCCAACGTATCTATACTATAGTTCTCTCTCTGTCCCTCTGTCTTTCTCTTCTTCCAGTTTTATTTTGCAGTTTTTTGAAGTAGGAAACTTCCTATTAAGTGCTCAAAATGTAGGTAATAAAACAAATCACTTGTTTCCAGTAGACAGCATCATGCCTTGCCATATTTGGTGTCATAATTTTATTTTATTTATTTTTTAAAGATTAATTTATCAATGTAAGAGAGAGAGAGGAGAGAGAATGCGCACAGGGGGAAGGGCAAAGGAGAGAGAGTCTTAACCAGACTCCATGCTGAGCCCAGAACCCCACACAGGGCCCGATCCCACCACCTTGAGATCACGACCTGAACCAAAACCAAGAGTTGGACGCTTAACCGACTGCACCACCCAAGCACCCCTGGTGACATAATTTTAGCCGGTTGAGACTTCAGGAAACCATCCGCTGATCTCATGTTTGGTATCCAGCTTAAAATTGCAGTATACAATAGGCATTTGTATGTTGCAAGATACTCACTAGAGATTGTTTGATATTTCTACTCAAGAACACCAAAGGAGCAGAACAACTTACATTTAACCTGTTAAGCAATTAATCATCACCATATTCCCAATTTGTTCCAGTGTGTCTATGTGAATTCCTATAGACTAGAGTCCCAGGACAATCAACAGGCTAGTTACCTTTTAAACCAGGTCTGAGTTTAAAAGAATTCCTTTTGTGGGAAATCCTGTAGGACTCAATAATTAAACAGTTCGTTGGTTTCTTTCAGAGAACATTGCTATGAAATTATTTGAAACTGGCCGTTTCACTATTTGTGATGTCATCAGTCACTAGTTGGGCTGAAAAGTTGAGCTTTTTTTTTGTTCTGTAGTGACATGTTTAGTTTACATGGATACTATTAATGTCTCCTCCCTGTTCCTAGAAAAACAGATAGTTATAATTCAATGAGTCTTTTAGTCTGTTTTATTAGGAAGTTTGTAAAATTCAGAAATCAAGAAATTTCCTCTGGAAAACAATGTTAGTTTTCTAGGGCTGCTGTAACAAAGTACCACAAACCCAGTGGCTTAGCCAACAGAAATTAATTTTCTTACAATTCTAGAGGCTAAAAGTCCAAGATCAAGGTGTCAGCAGAGCTGGTTCCCTCTGAGGGCTGTGAAGGAAGGATCTGTTCCGGCCTCTCTCCCCATCACCTTGTAGTTGGCCACCTTCTCTGTCTCCTGCCCTCTGTGTGTGTCTGTGCCTCAATTTCCTCTTTCTATAAGGGCAGCAATCGTATTAGATTAGGGCCCACTCATCACCCCATTTCAATTTAATTAGCTCTTTAAAGACCCTGTCTCCAAATATGGTTACATTCTGAAGTACCGGGGAGTTAAAACTTCAACCTATGAATTTTTAGGGGGATAGAATTCACCCTGTAACATCTGGAAATGAACTTTTGAGTCAGGGCTGCACATGGGCTCTCCAGCAAAGTGAGTCCCAAGTAAGTGGTATTCCCAAACCATGCCAGCACCCGGCTTGACATGCACCCCGGGCTTGCTTTCTTCTTCTCCTCTTCAGCTTCAGCTTCATGACATCTGCTCCTCAGAAGGCTGTAGGGAGAAAGCTCACTGTATAGCCACCAGCCTATGAGATCTCCAGAGTCTTTGTCCAGGGTGTAGGGTCTGCTCCCACAGCTGCCGGTCTCTAGGGTGTCTTGGCCATGCTCCAACCACACTTGTCAACTGGGATCCTGAAGCAGCTCTGGCCATACTCCAAATCTCACAAATTCTTCTTGACTAACTCACTCAGCTCCAGCCTCCAGCTCCTCACTGCACAGAGGACCTCAAATCAGGCCAAGGGATTTAGAGGAGATTTGAGCGCCTGATTTGAGGTCCTCTGTGCAGTGAGGAGCTGGAAGCTTGACAAGGTCAAGTTCTCCACTATCCATCCAGTAATAGCCAAGTACTGGGCCAGTGGCATCCTTTGCCCACTACCACTACCTGCCCCTGAGGTCAGGGCCCACCTTCTGTGGTGGAAAGCTTAGGGATGTCCTGCTCTGTTGGAAAGGCCAATTATGAATGTGGAGAGATCAGATGGATGTCCTCAAATTCCTGAGTCCAGGAGGACCCCTTCTGCTGGATGGGCCGAGGTGAGGTGATGTGCTCACTGCCATCAGCGGAAGGGCCTCTAAAGGTAGCACAGCAACTAAGCCCAACTAATTGTGGCTCCTTGGCACAAAGGACCATGGCGAGTGGGGGCTTACTCCAGTAGTGACCCATGACCTGCAGGCCAGCTGGGTTCCCCCAGGTGGCTCCCAACCCTGGTGTAAGGTACTCATGGCCTCTCTAGACCAACTCTGCCTCCATCCACATGGCTCCCCCAAGGTCCTGCTCCCTTCTCCCTGGCTCCACTGATCTCACCTCCTTTCTTCCTGGGAAGGGGGTAATTACAGTCATAGTTTTCTTCCAGTCTCTTTCCTATGTATTATTATTAGAACATAAATTCTATGCCCTATTTCCTTAAAGGCCTTTCCTTCCAATTCTCACAATGCTTTTCTCCCCTCAACAAAAACTCACCTCATTCAGATCAAAAGCTTTGGCTTCTATGCATGTGTGAGGGCAGGGAATATATGGGAAATCTCTGTAAGTTCCCTTTGATTTGGCTGTGAACCTTAAACGGCTCTTAAAAAAAAAAAAGCTTGGCTTCCAGAACTATTGTTTCTGATAGACTCTTACAAAAGAACCTCTTTTTTAAATAAGAAAAAAAAAAAAAGCACTGACTGTTTCTTTATATTTGCATATTGGCTGGAACCTCCCTAATTCTCCTTTAATCAATGTGGATGGCTCTGGGGGAGCAGAAGGAAATACAAAACAGAAACAAACTCACAGATTCATATTTCAAGACATCACCTCACTAAGTAGGTAAACTCACTATTTTTGGCAGTCCTATTCCACCTTGTGAATTAGAAGCAGGTAAAAGCCAGTTGTCAGGGACAATACTGAAAGATAGTGAGGAGAGGATGATGGGGGTTCCCGACACTTTTTAGCTTCCCAGTTTCTGCCCAGCTAGAACCCTCTTATCCTCATATCCTTAAACATCACTGTATTTCTAAAATAAATTTCTAATTTTTCTTCAGCTAGCTCAAGTGAGCTTATATATTTAGCAACCAAAATGGTGCTAATGAATACAGTTTTATAGTTTCAAAGCTAATCTACATTTTCCTGTCTTGAAAAAAAAAAACACTATAGACAGTAATAGGTGGTTAAATGGCCCAAAACTTTTAATTATGAAAATCTGTATTATTTATTGCAACTCTGTAGTTAATATTTTCTTGATAAGGATATCAGAATGTGGTTGCAACATACAATCTTATGTGTTGGTATGCATCTGGAAAGAGATGTGGACAAGATAATATACTAGCTCCCGTATGCCAACTGGTAGTTGCTGGCCTCGGATGTCTTCTCCTGCTAAGGGCTTCCTCTGAGCATTGAGGATTAGCAAGAAGAGAGTGGACCTTGGGAGCAAGAGGCAGTGTTCCATCCTCAGTCACTACAGGATGCTCTGATGTTGTTGACTACCTTGCCTTGCTTTGAGGTCTGCCGTATCCTAGGGATGCAAGTTGTTTCCTTCCTGTATTGTGTTCTCACTGTCTGACCCTTTCCTTTTAGGGAAATTGTGCACGCCCCCTTCTTGGGAATTTTGGTCCCATGGCTCCTTCTAAGCAAACAGTGATGTGACCCAACTTCTCACAGCTCACTGGAAGGTGTCCCTGCCTTAAGCTGGAGCGATTACATTCTCTCAGTAGGGAATTTGGAATTGGGCTTTCCAGACTCTCATCCGTCCTGGTTGAAGTCTGGACAGAAAGTCATTGTCAGGCTGAGCCAGGCAGCCATGAGCAGCCTGAAGCAGCCGCTGCTGGTCTGACAGACATGCAGAGGGAAGGGCAGAGTGGGAAGCCTTCAGCTTCAGTGATACAGGAGGAGAGAATAACTTTCGCTTCAAAATCCCCAGCTTCTTGGGCTTCAGTTCTTCCCGAAGCTGCACTGACCTCCTGTCCTGGGTTCCTTGAGATATCCTTGTATCCTTCCAAAAAAACTTTCTGTGTGCTTAAACTGATTTGAATGAGCTCAATAAAGAGCTCACTGTAGGAGCCAGTCATCGTGTAAGATAGAGTATGTAGCCTGCCACCCATTCACCTGATTCTCAAAACAGGGAATAGCAAATAAAAAGAAGATAATCCAAGTTTGTTTTTTCCCTTCCCATGTATTTTTTCAAGCAGAGATGTATTTCAATTTCTTCAATTTGCTTTTCAATATGAAGAGAGATTTAAGAACTTGTTTTACCAAGTGCCATTTTATTTTCATTGTAGGCCTAGATGTGAGAGCCAAAAGATATGAGATGATAGATTGAGTTCTCATTTTAAATAATATTGAGGCCATTGGATCCTTTTCCTCACAAATTTCAACTATTTGTCGGGTGACCTAGTACC